CCCCCCCCCCCCCCCCCTCCCCCCCCCGAGTATTCCAAAAAGGAACTCAGTGTGAGAAACAGCCTCAAGGGCGTCATGCGTACGCAGAATGGGTATTGCTTGCCGAAATCTCTATTTTAAAAAAACTGCGTATTCCGTTTTTGTTGTTGACTATCTCTTCCGCTGGCACCCATCGAGTACCAACTACGGTTGTTCAGACCTTACGGTTGTTCAATCCTTTTGGCCGGAGCCCGTGGCATTCTCTGTCGGCTCGCGGGGTGAGTTGGCAGGCATGCCGCATCGATGAGATTTTGGATTTTCTCAAACAGGCTCCACGGCGAGAAAAACCAACCCCCTTGTCGATGCACACGAAGCCCTTGAAAAATTACGACTTCCTCTTTCAAATTTGCGTGCTCTGCATCTCAGGTCACTACACCAGGTCTGTTTGGTTTGAAAGCGACCGCAGTTCAGCATTGTGTAATAAAGAAGTATATCTTTGCTAGCACGCGGACACTGTCATCTCGCTCTACCCAGTCTTGTTCGGAAAACGTGTTTACCCGCACCGTTTCATGTCGCATTTTCCATTTTCGGATAGGCTGCGTTTCCTCGTCGCACGCGTGTGCTACAGACGATCTCTTTGGCTGGTACACATCTCTAACACCTGCGGTTCGACAATCGCTCTTCCCCGATCAATGGCTATGGGCTTTTGAAGCTGTGTAGCCTAGGGCGCGGGTACACATGGAGCATACAGATATATACGTCCCTCGTTCTCTGTTTCACCGCCCCACATGCTAGATATTTCGGCAGAGATGCGACGGCGGTATATCCGCACTGCCCTTGTTGGACGGCCACCTTATAATCATCTGAGGTTAATGCGAATACAGTAATGGGGCAAGTCGAAGGGAGACCTCGTAAAGGTGGAGGACTCAGGCAAGGGGCGCCAGAGCTGGACTCGTCGAAGTGATGGGAGCCACCGATCGATCTACGGACACCGACTGGGGAACGTTTGGAGTTGACAGCGTCCTCCGGACTACCGCAGCGAAGAGCGAGGACGGTGTACCGTAATGCACGGGGCTACAACGTGGGGAGGAGAGGTTCATGGCCGCCTGACACAAGGACGAATAGGAGGCCAACCGAGAACGTGGGGCTGAAGGGACCAGCAAAAAACGCAGATCGGCAGAAAAAACAACCAAGCCGCGACGGCTGAATAGCCAGGGGACTCAATGGAAGCCTGTCGCCAAAAGATGCATCTGTTGAGGAGAGCACGAGAGAGATGATAGAATACATGTCTTGGACTGATATTGAATCGATCAACGAGACCCGATTGTTCCTTCACTCCCCAACCCATCATGATGGACTTGCAGCACGAATATGTTTCTTTGGTGCCCTCTGCCACCCGGTACCACTTACTTGCACCCACCTGCCTACGACGGGGTGGTTGCCTGGCCGTAGAAAACCCGGCATGGAACTTCTTCTGCATAGTGGGGATAGTTTTTCTGAATGGTTGTTGTGTACTTGTTTCGCTTTGCGACTACGTGGTGGGGAAAGGGCATAGCGCCTGCGAGGCTGACCCCATTTAGGCGTCGAATTTATTCCGCTTTCAAGTACCGCGTTCGTGTTCAACGGATCCATTCTATTTGTGGTAACACCGCCCGCTCACCCAAAAAAAGAAACAGCAGTGCGGGCATTTTCGAGGAGGCATGCTACACATGGGGTTTTACTTCACTTGTAAATAGCGTAGGTTTCGCGACGAAACCAGTAACGCTTTTCTTCCACATCAGAAAGTATCTAAAAAGAACAGCCTCATCCTGAGATTGCTTAGCTCTTTTTTCCTCTTCACCGCAGTGCTCGCGAAACATTATCGCTCGTGTTCACGAGCACCGTTCGGGCGTGGTCTACAGGTGCCCACACACACCGCATCGGCATAGCCTCCATGCGCGTTGCGATTTTCTTTTTTGCACGGGGGTGCATAGGTGATCTGGTGAACACCAAAGTGCCGATTGCGCGTGTTTGGACGGCGATATTGTAGTGTGAAAAATTGGCACCTTTCAGCTGCCAAAACTCGACGTTCTGGTACAAGGTGGGGACAGCCAATCTTGGAGCGAAATGGACGCCATTGTGGACCACGCGCTACCCATGATCACAGCTCTCCGCGAAAGGTAGAAACAGCTGGTGCTCGGTTTCGAGCCCCTCACGGACGATGATCCCGTGAATTGATTTGACAGTGACAAAAAACGGTGTTTTGGCAACACAACCACCACTTGTTGGCGCAGAGAGCGGCGGTTTTACTTCTTGTAGGTCCCCTCTGTCGTCGCCACGGGTTTCGTATGCATAGCGTTTTGGCTCACGAACACTTCTCCATAACAACGCGCTGTCGGGGAGCGACGGAGCCACATCAGGATGACCGGGACCAAGCTCGGCCTCAACCTACTTGCCCCACGTAGTCGGCAGTGAGTTTAGGGACGGACAAGTCCACCGACTACACCAATACTAGCTGAAACACTTCGACACTACAAAATCTCCAGGAAATCCCATTTCTAACCTGCATTTCCGCCAACTTCGCCATGTTGTTGAGCAATACAGCATTCTCATGGCCTTGACCAGGCACATTCCCTTGAATGGCTTGCGATCGCCCGTACATTGATTCCGCCTCGGCGAACCTTCCCTGGATGCGAGAGAAACGCACTACAGGGGGTAAAGGCTGGTGGAGATGATCTGACTACGGACGAAAAAATTCCGCAATAACCACGACCGATGGTCGAGCTATGGTAGGAATTGATTTGACGGGGGCATGAGTATCCCACATCAACAGCTCCAAGAGTATCTCACGAGACCTTAGTTCACAGAAAAGCAGAATGGGCTCCTCGGCAAAACGCCGATTTGGCGAGGTGGGCTCAAGGTTCCTGCCAAAGACGGCGGGTCCTAAACCTGAGGCCGCTCTTGCCTACCCACGCTGGTCAAGCCTCGCTTGACATCCGCGGCACTTCCACGCCTGCTGTGGCGGGGTGAGGCCACACTTCAGAAGACCTTGATTTCTTGAGCGTAGAGGGGCTCATAGTCCACCAAAATCAACACAGAACGCAAAATAATATGGACAGCTCTCACCTGAATCTCCAATAACCCCGCCCAGTTGTTGAGAGTCGTGGCCAGCTGTGGGTGCTCATGGCCTAAAATCTTCGTCTGTATTTCCTCACAACGCTTGTATAGTGTCTCCGCCTCAGAGTGCTTGCCCTGAGAGAGGAGGGAAAAGCGGCAGGGGTTTCATCAAGGTTTCACCGGTCTTCACAGTGACACAATCTTGAGGGAAAGCAAAACAAATCACTTCCGAGATTTTTCGCCGGTGAAGATTCATATGCGAGAGTTACATGCACACAGGGGAAAAATCTTCGATAGAAACTTTGCAATCAGAAAGAGTACATGTTGCCCAAAACCTGCTCTCGAGCAAATCTCCGACAAAGACGCAAAAATTTGAAAAATCAGAATGCCACGAGTATTCCTCGCTGACCGACCTCACGCAGATACCCCCCTCCCCCCGACATCGCTTCACACAACAGGAATGTGACGAGTTGGTGCCCGGCTCCGAGCGACCCTTGAGTCACGACCGTCTCCAGCGATTTGGCCGGAGTTGTTGCGGCAGACCTTCACCGCAAGAAAACAAAAACGTTGTGGGAGACACATGTCCGGACACTCTGGACCCAGCACGTCTCGGATGTGCTGTGAACGCCCAGAGAGTGGTTTGGTCTCCTCGCGCTAAACAGGATAGCAAGCCCCGGATTATTAAAGAGGCTCGCCAAATACGAAAAGTGCTGCACCAATACAGACATGTTCTCCATTTTGCGTGATCAGGAATGAATTCCCGGTATTGTCCCACCTGCGCTTTCCACACACCAGCCAGGTTGCAGAGCGTAGAAGCATAGTCGGGGTGCCAATGGCCTACAGTTTCAACCAGAATTTCCCGGGCGCCGATGAACAGGGATTCTGCCTCTTGATGTTTGCCCTGCGATGTTGGGGGAGGGGGGAGCGATAGGAGGATGATGGAGGCTTCAAGAATGGCTTGCGGCGGAACAAATCACCAGAATTTTCCAAGGAAAATAACGAACTTACGAACACTCCAAAAATATATCGACTCTCACCTGACTCTCTAGGAGCTTTGCCCGGTTGTTGAGCACTATGGCGAACTGTGGATGTTCCGGACCAACAGCATTTTTCGATATCTCCTGACATTTCTCAAACGTGGTCTCCGCCGCAACATAGTCCCCCTGGAGCACGAGGGAAAAGAACGGAAAGCGTTGCTAAAGCTACTGCAGTTGAATGCGGAGGACAAAATTCTCAACCACCGTCGTGGATAAATATTGACCACTGCCAGATCTGGTTGGTCGGGAGGACGAGCAAAGTGCTACTAGCGTTTAACGAAATTCGATTGATATTGACCAGCTCTGAGAATGAGTTTGTCAAATTGACCTACAGAAGAATTTCAAACCAAAAAATTGGTAGGTGCTCCAACCGACGCAAAGACCACCCAGAAGAGTGCGATGCGTGAAAGCATACATCCGGCACTCAATACCTAAGCGCCTTTGATTGCATCAAGAGACCTCTGTTGTCACTGGTGCGAAGGTTATAGGTCGTATCGTGATCACAGGGGGCATGCTTGGATGAGGTTGACCGAAGTGGTGCAAATCGTAAATAAATCCCGTATACGGCTAGCATGGGGTCGATTTGTTTGTTCAGAAGTGCCGTGGACACTCCGGCAGACCGTGCGCCACTGGCTGTTGATCGCCTCCACAGACCAATGTTTCTGTCTTTGCGTGTATGAGTCTGCTAGTGCACCCACGCTGACAAACAAAGAGCTTAGCGTTAGCACAAGGGTTAGGGTTGCCGGTACACAAGCACATCAACACACAATGAGACAGAGAGAAAGAGAGAAGCTATCTACTTGGTTGTGTGTATGTGAGCAAGTGTGGAATGGAGACGCTTGAATCCGGGAAGGCTGTATCGGTTGCGCCAACCCAAAACAATGTATGGACTCCCTTCGCTCGAGGAGGACGTTTTTTGGCACCCGTGGAAAACAAGCTTCGAGGTCATCCACTGAACATCGCTTTGGGAAGACGAGACTGGCTTGGTGTGCAGCTGATATGGTCCGGTGTTCTTGTGCTGCAATCTGCAACTCTACACTGTGAATCCTACACTTACATCCCCTGATGGGACATCATGCGAGATCATGCCGTGTATGCACACACACGAATCAGCATAGATGGAGCCTTTGTTGAGGTCGGAGGTAGCGACAATGATGTCGTGTTGCAGTAGTGGTGATGTGGAAACAGGCTGGCGATGGTGGGTTAAGGTGGAGAAGAAACAGCGTAAAGGAGTGAGCAAGTGCGAGGTGTGTGGGAGAGAGAGAACTCCCCGCGCGGGGTGTAACTAAATATCCTGCATATAAACGAACTACCGGTCTGCATCTATGACAATGGCGCTTCGCAGCCAAGATCTTGGAGTGAATAATCGATAAACCCGGCGAAAGTACTGCTTACTTTGGAGGTCACCTTCCGTAAAGCACTACTAGCGCAATGCAGGGCAACGTTCATCCGTATCTTCTCACGTCAGCTGTGCCAGCGTACTATTGCAAGTTCTCTCTGTTGACATTTCGACGCTCTACTCGCACCACTCGACTAGGATCTAGACAAAGGCATCACATACACAGCAGGCTTCGAAGAACTTACCAGGCATTGGACAGGACTATAGGGCTTCAGTTTATAACATGGGTATTTCAAATCTCGAAAGACTGTTATTGCAGGTGAAGCACCATGACGTGCCCGGCCAGCCAGAGCGATCGGGGCACCTACTTCTAAACCACAGGCCTTCCTGTAGAGATGCCACCCATCTCCACCACATTCCGTTGGGATATGTATTGGGTCGCCGCTGGTCAGTCGAAAAGACTTCAGCACGAAGGAGGCAATTCAAATTTCGGTCAACCTGTAGCGGAACACCTCGTAGACCATGTGGTTTTGGGGCAAACACTCTAGAATGTTCCCCAATACCAACAGCCCCAGGACCGACAGGGCCCGCCCCTTCATCTTTGCACGGCGAGAAAAGCTAGAAGGATGCCCCAAAACCGATACCTTACGTAGTCAGCTGAATTCCCTGAAATACTGCGTGGGCTCTCACCCTGACTGTCCAGTATTTCACCACTAGGAACTTCCTGGTAACCGTGACGAACCTCACCTTATCGTGCAACAACGACGCCAGGTTGCCGAGAGCTGTCGCCACCGCAGAATGCTTACGGCCAAGAGTCTTCACGCGGATGTCCAGGGAGCGTTCAAACACAGGTAAGGCTTCCTCATACTTGCCCTGGAAGTGAACGCCAGAGTGCGAGGGAAATACGGTCAAGGCAGGCATGCGGAGGAGAACCTGCTGAATCGTAGCCACCCGCCCGCGATTAGAGCACAACAGGTTCTAGTGGGCACCAAAACTTATTTTCTGGAATCTTCTGACGGCTCTCACCTGCCTCCCAAACGAGAACGCCAGGAGGTTGAGCGTTAAGGCCACAAGCAGGTGCTCCGACCCCAGTACCTTTTCTCGTATGGCGAGTGACTGCTTATGGAGTAGCGTTGCCTCAGAATGCTTGCCCTGCATAACAAGCAGTTGGTCAGATATTGTGAGGGAGCGGTCCACCGCGAACAGAAACGCGATCTTGACATGGGCGCAAACAAGAACACCCCTGGAAAGTGCTTTCGTTCTCACCTGAAGCGCCAAAAGTAGCGCCCGGTTGGTGAGAACCTGAGCTTCTAGAAGTTCGTTTCCAGAGTAATTCTTGGCGATCTCCTGTAGCCTCATGTTTGACAGTTCTGCCTCCACGTGCTTGCCCTGAGTGACGAGGCGCGGGTTGATGTAGACAAGCGGCAAGCACGAACTAGAGCACTTACTCGCAAATGTGACCCTTCCAAACTTCCAAGAGAACCGTTCGACTTTCACTTGGCTCGCCAGTAAACGCGAAACCACATCCGGTCGTTCCGCATTACAATAGCTACATGGCACTATTCTAGATTCTCTGTAATCTCCGAGTGGCTCTTACCAGCGCTCTCAATAACCCCCGCTGTTGGGCACTAAAGCATCCGCAAAGCTCTTTCTCGAACAATGATGTTGGGGCTTACCCGCTTCATCAACAAACCCGTTAGGTTGTTGAGACATGTCATCACGTCACGGTGATGAGACTTCTCCGCCATGGCGAGGGAGCTTTCGTACAAACTTTGGGCGTTCTCGTAGTTGCCCTGGAGTTGGACGCAAACGCGCGCATGGGATGTACAAAAGACTTGGAACGCCAAGTCACCAAACTCGCGAAATCGTGAGTCATCACACCCCCGTGCGATCGTCCTGTATGAAGTACTGTATATATTTGGAGATTGAAATTGAAAGATCAAAATTGAAACATCAATATTGAAACATGTTGTCTTCGTGAAAGGCCACCTGCGAAGAAACCCCAACGGGGGGGCAAGAATGCGGCCAGGTTTCTTTGGTGAAATTTAGCAAGGAGAGGCCCCACAGCAACAGTGGTGAGGAGCGAGGGCGTTCCAAAGACGCCCCACACTCGCCGTCAGCAAGAGTCGAATCTAGAGCAGGGTTTGTTGTGAGTCAACGGACTGCAAGATGCTTTGCGTCACCTCATACACCTCACTTCCACATGTGCTACTGCTGTTGCGCATCTTGCGCGATGACCCCGAACGTGCTTTGTTAATTGAGTGGATACCGTGAAGTGCCATGATGGCAACATGCACAGGTAGCCACTAGATATTTCCTGGAATTCACCTGCTTGGTCGACAAAGCTGCCATGCTGTTGAGAACCCCACCGATCAGCGGATGGTCCACGCCCAGCGAGTTCTCTAGTACTTCCTTTGCCTGCTTAAGGAGTTGCCCAGCTTCGGTGTACTTGTCCTGGGTCACCGGGCGATACCAACGCAGAATCAGGGTCATAAATCGGATCATGAACAGCGAAGGGATACGTATTCCGGAACGACGCCCGGTTGTCGACAACTGCCGGAACGTCATCATGACTACTTCTCCCAAAATTTCTGAAGATATCCTTCGTTCTTCATAAATATCGACTTCCATTTCGAAAATTCGCCCTCGAGCACATCAAGCGAAAGGCGGTCCGAAAAACGGAAAAAATGAAACGTGACACATGTCAATAAGCAAAACATTTTTGAACCTACACACCACTCCTGTTGTGTGAAATTGAGCAGACAACCATCGACGAAATACTTCGAGTATCACCTGGTCTTTCCATAAATCTGCCCTGTTAAGGAGCAAACAGGCCATTGACGGATGGTTCGGACCCAGCGTTTTCACCGTGATGTTGATTGACCGCTCAAACAGGCGATCGGCTTCGTCATACTCGCCCTGAAATGTGACGAAGGTGCGAAACGTTTTCGGTCAGGGTAGAACCGCTTGAACAACCGCGCTACTAATAAGCTCGGTTATGGTCATGTCACTTGAGCACCACAAAAACTGTTGTTCGAATTTTTCTGACAGCTCTCACCTGACTCTCCAAAGCCCCCAGTGCTTGAGCACACGACATGCGCACCACTACACGGTCTTCTTACCATTTGTGTCTTACCTGACGTCGCCGAAGCATGATCAACGACAGGAGTGCATTATTCGTTCTTCCTTGCCGACGCGTTTTGGGGGGTTGTCAACACAGCACCGCCCACTTCACCCACTCAACACCACCAGCAGCCCTCAACCAGACCTCGGAGGCGGTCCCGTGGTACCAAACGAGGTGTCGGCGACTGACTACATCATCAAAAGCGGGACCGCGTGAGCCGCTATCCCATCATGCAGCACGTGAGCACAACTCGAGCAATGTCCAAAGCAGACACGCCGGTAGGTTCACAGTATTGTAGTGCGACCCTGACGCGCTCGTGGAGGATATGAAATTCCCGCTGAAATCGGCTGTGCTGTCAAGGAAGAAATGAATTTAAAGCACAAAAAGAGAAAGTGATGAATCAAAAGCACCCGACGCGTGTCGCGTGTACCCATGACCTTGGCCCGGCGTGCAATAGAGCCTCAAGATATCAAGATTGGCGTATAACCCTCAAATGTAATTTTCCACAACTTAAGTGTGAAATGGGTCAATGATGTGCACCTAGTTTCCACTAGAAAGTATGCGGGACAGCAAGCACGACCTTCTGTGTTTTCCAGGGTTATTTCTCTCCCTCTCGAAGCGCCTCCCATTCCATCTCATCTATCGGATTCCTAGTGCTGTAGTTCAACCCATCCGTGTCTCGTCAACACAACTCCGGCGCCTTCTTTTTTTGGAGCCGTTCCCAGCAATTTTTTTGGTGCTGAGTAAGGAACACCAAAAACAGCAAGATATTCCCCTTTGGTTGGCGGTTGGACGAAGCCTCAAAAAGCTGAAAGTCCTAAGTAGAGACGACGGAAAGGTATGCTGCACCACTGTTATTTGTTCGTCAAATCGATTAAAAAACATTAACATTTGGTAGCGTCACGTTCATCCTCGTCCCGGCGAGCAGGTACTACTCTCTACCACGTTATTTAAACCATGAAATCGCCAATATGGCGGTCGCGCGAAGCGTCAAACACCTGAAGCGATTCTCTTCTGGAGATAGCTATTCGACGCCGGCCTGTTCTTCATTATTCAAGAAATAAAGGGCTATCATCATTTAATGGCGCTAGTGTATGGTCTACACATCTACATTTATGGTGAAGTGTCTTTCATAGACTACCTGACCTGCACTATGTCGACCTTTGGCTTTGGAATCGCTCAATTTGGGGCGGTGGTGCAAAGCACCAAAAAGATTGTACTCCCTGCCTGATGTTGCTCAGAACTAAGTACCTTTCGAGTTTTCAGCCCCGCTGCGTGCTAGTGCACGGCGACATTTATGCTGTTGCTTTAAACGGCTAGCGGCCGACCGCAGCACATCTTCCACACTGTGGGGTTGTGCCTCGCTTCCTGTCCCTTGCTGTGCCGCGCCCCCGCCCTGGTCGTCCTTTTAGGACATGGAGGCGTGTGTGCTTATATCCAGTCGGTATGGGATGAGATATTCTCTTAACTATCTTGTAACACTTGCGTATAAACTCAAGCTTCGGCAATAATAAACCCCGGGAACCGACAAACCCGGGTGTTCTGTCTTAGTTTTGTCCCGGGATGTCCACGGTGTAGAACCACAACGTGGTTCGGATTTTTTTCTTTGACATGGTCACGGTGAGGTGCTGTGCAGTTTTTGTCCTGCCCATTTGACGGTGCGGTACGGTGCGGGTTTTCAATTGAAACATTGACGGTGTGCGGTTTCCCATCGCGTCGTTTAACGTACGGTGCGTTTCTTCTTCTCCGTGATAAAACCCGTACAAACCGCGGCCTTGGTGGTGGTGCCCCGTCGACGAAAACCGCCGAAATACCACGTGAAAGAAGGACGGAGTGGCTACTACTTCGCGGAATACGTTAAGTTTTGTAGTGTACTCCTGTGGTCCATCGAAAGTAGAACTGTGTGCACGTTGTGCTGTGCATGGAGGCCGCCAATAACAAACTCCGCGGCCTGGTGGCCAAAAGACCCGAAAAACAAGGAGGGCGCATAGTTCGTTCACAAAAAGCTCCTACAACACGTTGTTTTTGCTACAAATACTTCTGGTAGCACAACGTGGCACATGTTCACAACCCCAAATGCGTCTCTGGTACACTGTCAGAGTCGACCTCGATCACTACTTGCTCTTCCGCACGAGCAGCTTGGGCACATGCATCTTTGGCCTTTTCTGGCGTGCCTGTGAATGGAAACACCGTGGCTTAACAGCGGTTACCGCGGCCATGGCCACGGAGTGGGACAAACCACACCGTGACAAAATCGCATGACGGTTCCTTATGAATCCCCACGGTGCGGTGCGGTGCGGTGCGGTGCGGTGCGGTGTGTTTCCTTTCATGTCGAAATGTGACGGTGCGCTACGGTGCGGTTTCCACACCGTAGAGAACACCGTGCCGTGAGCACCCCACAAAATCGCCAACCACATGCTGCTGTAGAAGGCCTTTGCGAAGGCATTTGTGTGTAAACAACGCATCGGCGGGTGCGGGGGACCGGGGAGACTTCACGGAGATCCCCCGGCTATATGTTGAAGCGTTTTCACCGATACAGGGATATAAACCTGAGATCCCGGGATTATTTGCCAATCAATACTGACCGAGTCCTCGGGTTCTCTGTGCGTGTGTATGTTTATGTCATTTGGGTCTGGAGAGTGCTGAGAGGTGTTGCCGACACCACGGGACCCGTAGAATAGTTTTCAGAAGCTTGTCCTGCTTACCTCGATGAACCTGGAGAAACCTCTAGCACGCCTGTCGCCCGTCTGGCCGAGGGTGGCCAGAGAAACAAGGCATTTGCTTTGTGCTTGATTGGGCGTACTGGCGCGCACACTATTTCGGAAATCCTTTGGGTGGCTTAGTCTTGATGGAAACGGAACTACCCGTTTCATAACGGAACTACCCGTTTCATATCTGGAGACAAACAAGTACCCAATAACACTTTGTTGCAGCACCTGCCTGTCGACTTGAACGTTTTTTACGTGTTGCAAGAGGCGACATGAGACACAAACGAGTAGGCAGCATCGGCATAGCCACTGTCATTTTCATTTGGCTGGACCCGGTGGGCACCAACACGTTTTGTGCGGCAAACGAGCAGAGAGAGCTGGACGCAGCCGCGGTGGGTCATTTCATTGTGTGCTCTCGAACTTTTGCGAACCAGTTTCTGAGCGTTCTATAGCCTTCTGGTCTGTATCAACTACCACGCAAGATGAATACCTATATCATTACTGGGTGGGAAGGAATCGTCGGTAAACCAAACCTGTGACATGGGCGAAGAGGAAACAAAGAGCATTTTCGGATGTGGTAGTTTACTTTTCCCTGCTGTTCCCGACTCTCGCGCTGACAGTTTGTGGGCGTCCTATCGCCTCCCGGTCTGCAACAACCACCATACAAAAAGCAAATTCACACAGCTCATAGTGGATACGTTTGTCATTGCTGTTGCTTCAGTGGGTGGGGAGGCATCATCGGGAAACGAAGCCAGTGACACGGGCACAAAGGCTGCAGGTCTTTTTCTCGCATGCTGCCGACTCTCGCCACCTCAGTTTCCGTGCCTCCTATCGCCCCGTGGTCTCGATCAGCAGCCACACAAGACGTATTTCGATACTCACCTCGCGGGGGATACCTTTACAACTAGAGTATTTAATTGCCCGAAAAACAAATCCGTGGGGAGGTGCATGTACGACGCGTACGATTTCCAACGGCCGTTGCAGAGTTATGTTTTCGGTCGATCACTTGGATAAGCTCAAACGATCGACTGCACCGCAAGAAGTGAGTCGTTCGTACATCTGTTATTGGCCTTGTCCCCTTTGTACCAAAAAAAGGACACCAGCAAAAACAAGAGTCGGCGAGAAGTGGCCTAACACCGGTGTTCATGGCGACACAACCTTGTCCTCTAATCTTTAAATCCTAAGACTGTTTTTTCACTTGTTATGGAACACAAACCTTTCCCTAAAAACCTTGACCGAGTGTTTCTATGGTCCCAAAAGAGTCTTTTCGGGAGTCTTGGCCAAAGATCGTACCATGGAGGCACGCGTGACAGAGTTGTGGGGGCGGCTAGTTAAAGTTGCCCCAGTCGACAATATCAACTGCGACCTGAATGCTGAACGCATCGAATCCAGCACGAGCTCCGAGTAACCCTACCGTCATTGTCTTGCAACTCTGGGCGCTGGCAAGTCACGGTAGCTCGCCGGGGGTGCGAATTTGTAATTTTTGGGTCGTGGATATCACCGGAGGAGACGTAAGTGCGTTTGCCTCAAACACTACCATACACCGCTTTCAGGATCTCACTCGGTATACCACGCAAGCAGAAGCGGGTTGGCGGTGGGTTAATTCAACCAGCAGAGAGAACGATCGGTGTATGGACAAGTTCCGCTGTTGTTTTTCTTTCACGCGACAGAACAGATTGTCCATTTGCATGCAGGAAAAAAGGGGAAGGCACGGATTGTTGTGCACATGGTCAAACCACGCGGTTCCGAACTACCCATATTGTTTCAACGGCTCCCCGCGAGCCTCATTCGCATGCCCGTGGCCAAAGCGTCAAGGCAAGTGCCCCTGGGATGACGAACCCCTAGTACTACGGGCAGCTTCATGTGCCTCTACTCCCGTGCAATGGAAGGTATCGTATAGTGTGGACTTCCCACCGTGGCCAGCTGGCGGTCTGTTTCCTTTCGCGATTTATATTATTTTTCGTGATTTATGATACATGCAGCCTGCTGTTCATGGACAAAAGTTCATGGAAACTATTCTAAAGCGTATCTAGTTTAGCGATTCCCTTTGCGCCGGATAAAGTATGGCCTGTGCCAAGAGCGTGAAAGAATGAAGCCTCCTTATTAATTGAAATTGATACATCATGGGGCAGTTGCTTCGCCATTTTGAGTTTTCATACATTTGCGTACGAATTGGATCGTCGAGCTTTTAAGAGAATGATACGAAATTTTCTGACGGTCCTCACCTGCACCACCAACCACTCTGCCAAGAGGTCTAGCGCATTGGCCACGAGAACATGGTTTGGGCCTGAAACTGTCTCGCGGATGACCAGGGAGCGTTTGTACAGGTGCCCGACTTCCTCATACTTGCCCTGGGACACAAAGAGAATGTGAGAAACGGAGTTGATCAAGGCGATAAATGCATACGGAATAGTAAATGTTGTTGCCTGGTGAGGGTGATCAAGTCTTCTGTTCGATACCGAAAACGCTTGATGCGCCGGAACACGAGCGGGAAACACGAAAGGAGTGGGGCCAAGGCTTTTGGAGTGTGCTTCAGAGGAACAAATGCGAGCAACCGCCTCCGGTCGATGAGAATTCATGCAACTTCCGGATGATTCCGCCAAACGTTTTCTGACAATAGCCCGGGGGTGTCTTCCTGGCTCGTCTGGTACCCGCTATTCGATCTTCGATAGTTCTATCAATACGGTGAATATGTGAGCAACATCAACAAGGGGCATAGGAGATTCAACAGGATTACAAGGATGAGGAGCGGACCATTCGATTTACATTCAAGAAGAGCCAACTGTCGCACAACGGGCGGCGGCGGCGGCCGTGGGGAGGGTATGCTCATGTAAGCGCATGCCGTCGGTGGGGCGCAAGGGCAATCTCCCACACTACGTAAGCGTTGTTGGACCACCCGTGGGCACTTCAAAGACTGCCCATGGGCAGCCCATTAACTGCTCACCAAGTGCCCACCGTGGGCACATCATCCTAGAACTTAGCTACCGATACATTCACCTAGAATTTAGCCACCCAGCGCCAACCTAGCACGTGCCGTGTTGGCTTGGAGTTAGGGTTAGAGTTAATGTTAGGGTTTTGAGCCGTGTTAGTGCCCCTGCCAAAGTACATAATCTGCTATTACACCACTGTGCCCATGGGCAACAACGTGCCCATGTACGGCCCGTGGGCAGTCTACGGGCAGCCGATGGGCACAACGTGGTGCTCATGGACTGAAAAGCAAAAGCGCCGAAAGTGTGGGAGACCCCACAAGGGGGCCGGAAAAAACCAAACATGTCTCTTCTTCATGTGCAAAAGTCGGCGCGCAGTATGTACTTATCGAGCAGCAGTAGGGATCCAAGCACCCCAAAAATCGGCAAACGAAGTTGTGTCCCGTCCCTCATGCTTTTTGCGGCTAGAGGAGACGGGGCAGGATTTTGAAGAGGTCACTCACAGACACATGCATGCGTGCGCGCTCAGAGAAAAATCATACCAACCTTTTTGACTTTCATTTTCATTTGTATAACGCACACGCACAGCAGCAGTAGCAGCAACAGCTGTGTCCATAGAAGTTACATCACATGCCACACTACACACGTATGTATGTACAAGGTATATTTTGCAGTCGAAAGGGTGCTGGTTGCCCCGCAACCCCTCACCTTGTTTTTGAGGTCTAGATGAAGACGGAGAGCACATGCACAGCATTCAGCATGAGCGGTAGTAATCCTTTGGGCGGTAGTGGTCATTTTGATCCAGCCGTCGTTCAACTTCGCCTCATCCGAGGTGGGACTGGAGGATTGGACGGCAGCTGTTAAGATTCTCTCGCTGTGCTTTCCTCGTTTGACGGCAAGGAGTGCAACACTCTGACCCAGCGTCATCAATAGTTCAAGAATTCTCACGGATACTTTTCTAGCTTTCGGGACATGTTTGATACTGCTCTCGGGACGACCACAGTAAACAACATATTCGCCTGATTGAGAGCGAAGTATCTGATTGAGAGCGAGAGCCAAAAAAATTGAAATTTCGGGTCCAGACGCCTCTTGCCATTTCTTGGCAAGTAGGGGACGGGCTATTCCAAGAAGCGGTGCAAATTGAAGGTCTCATCAGCAGCTTCGCGAGCATATGCGTGTCATCGTCATCGGATGCTGCAGCGAGGAGCTAGACAAGTTGCTAGATTTGCCCAGATTGGCTATTTCTGCTCAAACTGTTTCAGGGCGGTATCGCGTCGGGCGGTGGGCTCTGCTGTAGCTTCTGCTCCCCGCTGTAGCTCCACAACGAGAGACTCCCACAGGATGACCAGGGTAGCGGCTTGAAGCTACGGGCTAGCCCTTCAATTCAAGCTACACAGCAAGCTCCACCTCTCAGTGGTAGTCCGGCTACAGCGTATCGCGCAATCTCGCTCTCAATCAGATGCTACGCTCTCAATCAGGCGAATATGTTGTTAGTAGCAGTGTAACCTCGCTACACAAGCTCGACTTGCCAAACTGATACTTCACTTTCGTGGTCAGATTCCTGCTGCTGCATGCCCCAGATAAAGGACACCTCACAAATCTCCCCCTTTCACACGCAGAATAGCGTCTGGGGTCACTTGAAACCCACACATGTGGCACCAAACACTTGAAAATCCAGGATCTGATGTGTGCAGGCTTCCAATATTCCCCCAAGTTACTAGCAGGTGGCTGAGCTACCTTGCTGATGCAAACTCTTCACATTCAGATTTCATGTTGTCAAGACACTGCTGCGAATGCTAGTTCATATTCCAGAGGGTGGTGATACAAATACACAGCGCAACGGAGGGTCTCTCCACAATACCTTTTGCTTTGTACGTAGGGTCCTATATTACAGCGATAACTAGTACTGCGGCCGATGTGAAATGATCCTTCTTTGTGTTGAACTTAACCTTTTTATGTTATACGGTAATTCTTCCTTAGGAATAATATTTTGTTTTCAAACAGTAAGCGTGTTCTCGACACGGGAAAGCAGTCTCACTAGAGATCTCGCATCCGATACTCACGGTCACCACGTGTACATACGAAACATACGAAAACGTCGGCTGTTGGTGGCCATGTGGCCCACAGGGTGGATGGAGTTTGGCCACATGGGTTGTTTCCGCCCTGTGAACTAGAAAAGTACATTGGGAGCCTTTATAGTTTTTGCTGCTTCTCTCCGACCGCCAGCAGCTGCCCGCAAGCTGTGGGTAGCCCATACCTTCAGTGACGTGTAGATAAAGCAATCCGCCCACCACAGACGATGGAGCGTGACGTCGTCTTGCCGTTTCGGTGTGGTGCAAAGACAGGACAAAACCCACCACACACTTTCATCGAGGCACATCTACAAATAATATTTCGTGATACCTCCGGGAGGGAGAGTCGAATTTCTGCAGTTATCTGTAGGAAAGCTCTCTTGGGGAGACGCAAGCTAGAACGGGATGCGTATCGAACGTCGATAAAGGCCAGGTTCGCCGTTTTGTCGTGTGTGCAGACGCACCGCCGCGGCAGCGTGGCCCTACGTTACGTCAGGCGAGAGTTTTTGGGAGGGGTCACAACAACGTGTGTGTGTGTGTGTCGTTATTATTAGCATCGACCGCGCTAACCGGCTGACCAATGAAAAGACGTCAGTCTCAGTACGGTTGAAAACACAAAGCACTTCTGCGTGCCATGAACCGGGACCCCGTGAGGGAGCGTTATGGGGGAGGCTTAGCTCCTCCTTGGATAAAAGACAGAAACGGTAGCATTAGAAGAAATCTGCACGTGTCTACCAAGGAAAGTTCGTTTTGGAGTGCTTTCACCATCATCCTCCTTGCTTTCACCACCATCACTCGCACCGCCATTGCCATTCCTATTTTGCTGCGGTTCTCCTATAGCCCTGCCTCGTTTGTTGTGAGGAAGGTCATGTGGTTCGACACCCTTGCTCTCTTCCTCGCCATTTTCCGCCTTCGTCACCTTTTTCACCATTCGCCATTCAGCCCGTCCCCTTTCCTCCTGTTTCATCACCACCACGATCCTCTTCGCCTGCAATACCGAAATCCCAACCTATTGGCTGTGGTGGGATTTGGTCGATATGTAACCCATGGCGTTTGAGCATGTCGCGAGTTCGTACTGACAGAAACCAAGCTCAAAGGTAAATCGTCTCCAAATTCTGTTGATGTGGTGAGCCTTGAGGCGAAGAAAGGCTGACTTGTCAAAAATTCCCTTGACCTTCGTAAGCCAGATGGTTGGCGGTCGCTACGATTCCGAGTAGTGCATTTGCCAAGACCACCATACGTTGAAAAAGCAGCAGTAGGGAGGGTAGATGTAGACGGGTTGAAAGTTTCCGCATGGTGGTTTGCCTTGCCTGTTCCTCCTCTATCTCCGAGGGCGGACTGTGTGTGTGTGTATTCGTCCCATTTATTCTGACGCCGGGTACAGGCCTTTCGGCGTATGTACCTGACGCATCAACCAGGGTTACACAGAGGAAAGTCACACAACAGCTTTACCATTTATATATATTTTGTCTTATTGCCCCCTGCCTTTCCCCCTGCGGTGTTTGACCTAGCTTTTATCGCGAGAAGGGTTCAGCTATCCCTTCCCTCGTCGACCGTGAGAAGCCGAAGTGAGTCTACGTACGCCCTATTTCGCTTTCAATTACAATGTACAGATTGGTGAAAAACCTCCGGAGAATATCGACCCCACAACCTGCGGCTGGGGAGTCGTGCGGAATGACCATCACGCCACCAGGTGTATGAATCTTTCTATTGCCCTGGATGCGTTACGGGAATGGCTTCAAGAGTGTGAAGGCCAACAGAGCATATTGTGAAGGAGAGGTGCTCCCAACAACTGCGCAAGCTGAACAACCTGTGCCAAGCTGAGAGCGAAATTCGATCGCGGCTGAATTGAAAACCATTTCATCTGGCTTCCTCAAGGATTGGTTTTGTGCGTACTGTGTTCATCTTGGCCCTCATATCCGACACCAGATTATCCTACGAGAGGGTGGTTTTGACGAATGCTACGAGACGGCATGTAAACATACCCTATTCTACACCAGGTAACACCAAATGTCCCGGCCTCCACGTCACAACGGTACGTAGGATAAGACCTTGCCAAGCGCTGAATTCTGGCCATCCTGAAAGCGTTGAACTGTTCGCGCTTCACCTGGTTCTGCAAAGCCTTGCCGAGGGCTGCCGCGTACGTTGATACTCTCAATTCCTCGCAGTGGTTGCCCTTGGGTCCTCGTTTCACGCAGTCCTCGGCCATGGATAGTGCCTGGTGCATGTAGGGACAGCGAACCGTAAGCTTCGATGTCTTCATCCGGCAGGTCGATCCATGTGGATTTTGAGACGTCTTCAACACTCAAGATATGATGAGCAAGCAAGCACAAGACATGGCTTCAACTGAATGCGTATGCAGAGTACCTGTCTGGTGGGCTCCTCGACCAGATTGAATTGTCCGGCATCGAGCTGTAAGGCCAACAGCCAGCGTCGACTTCCAAGCCAGTTGCTCCTGGCCAGGAGGACCATCTCCTCCGTGACCTCAGGAGATAGATTCTTGAAAAAATGTGTAGGGAGCATTTCCTGAGTTACCTTGAGCTTGCGCGACCACTCGTACACGTCGTGTTGGCCGTGGGTCTCTTCAACGAATTTGCTGAGATGCAGCTGAATCTCGCATAGGTGATCGTTCAAGACGGGGTTCACTTTGACGTCCCGATAACCGCCAGGCATCCAATCGGGGTCAAAGCCGTTTTTGACGCGCAGAACAGCTTGAGGCTGCAAGAGCACATGTCACTCGGGCAGCGGAAAGCGATTGCATCATAGAGGTTGCGGTCCCAAAATCAAAAGGGGTATGTCAGACAGCGACCTGGTATGAGGGGCACACATGCCGTACTAGGTGAGGGCAGCCAATAATCAGAGCCTCGGAGTAGAAGGGCGAAGCAAGCATACTATCTGCCGGGGGGAGGCAGCGATTTCGCCCCCGTACATACCTTCCATGATATTGGAACCCTTAGGTCCCTTCAGACCAGTTTCCAGTGCCGTGTGCACTTGACATGCCTTGCCCTCCACGAGGTAACAATAAAAAGTAGCGGTAGCTCCCCAAGGCATGCAGCGACATGCGCTGTTAGTAGATGGACTTGAAATGTACCTACGACGAAAGGCGCCTTCGTGGGAGAATGAAGGTACGCGCAGCGTTTCCATTGTACCTCACCGTGTGCAATTTGGCTTGGGCGGTGTACACGATTACTTCAAGGAAGAAACAAAAACACAGGCCAGTCACCCCCCGACTACCGTGAGAATCACCGTCGCTATCCACGAGTGCTATAGTTAGGGTTTCCAAAGTTCAAAGTTTAGCAAACAGCCCGAGGGGTGGCCCCCGTGCTGACCTGAAGCCCGTTCTCCTCTAAAGACCAAGAGACGAGATGATGTCCTGTGCTTATAATCGTCTTTTCCTTGCCACCTCAAGTACGATTCGGTGCTTCTCTGTGGCAATGTACTACACTGCTGGCCCCTGGCCACCATTTTCCTGATGCGCTCAACAACGCGGAGACATAATCAGATTCAATGCCGGCTGCGCAAACGGTGCTGTTTTCTACAGCAGTACTCCGTGCAGTTTACGTGTAACAAGTTGCTTTCAATTTGTTCACATACATGTACGCGGAGTTTGATGTTATCTGGAAAACAACACAAAACGGAGGGACATGCAGGTGACGTGAATTGATCACGCATCGTACTATGCCCGTACCAGCCCCTGCAAGTTAGTACTACGCGGATACGCAGGACACATGCAGATGGAAGGGAGCATTGACACTCAGCGGTGGGATACAGCAGTAAAAAGCTTTGAGTATAATGTCAGATGCACCATGAGGTGGTAGCCATGAACCCCGACCAACCCACCCTTTCAGGTGGTGTTATCCGTGCGCAGCCGCGCAAAAACGTGTTTTTTCTCGTGAAAGCATTGCGAACGAGAGGATGTTGATGGATGCGTGTGGGTGGTTGGATCTTAGAGTTGGCTCCCGAAAAACGGGCACGTCAGACGTTATCCCTGACGCAACTTGGTGATCGGACAGGAGGTGAAAGGTGCTGCTTGTGCGGCGAGGCGGGCATGGAGGCACCGCGGGGGTCTGGCCGTGCGTGGACTCGGGCGAGAGTATTTGGGAGGGGCAAAGAAATGACTTCTGGGACGCTCCTTCGTGAACGGACAGTGGTTTTTCCTTAAATACAGGTCTGAGGAGAAACGAAACAGAAACTGAACCCCCCAGAGGGACTAGAACCGCGACTATAAACGGCGAATTGTACGGCCCACTGCGAGAACTGCAGGTTACGTGTAAAGCTGCATATCCTCCTCACCTCGAACAATCCCCTAATGGCCAAGTACGCGTTTCTCAAGGCCTCCGGTGAGTCACAGATCAAAGTAACCCTAGCCATGTCAGCAACCTTTCGGACGTTCCCCCCGTAGGACGTCTTGGCTTTCCGTTGCGTGCTTTCCTGGGACTTGATATCCGCGGTCTTAACCTTATAGCCCCCCGATTCTTCCGCGATCTTGGTAACGAGCTCTTCCAACCGCTGCTGTGCATGCTTGGCTTGATCAAGGTAGAAATTCACCTGTTTCGCAACGCGAGTGTCTTCAGCGCAGTCCTGCACATCAAAGACCTTGGGCTGGATGACATCCTCTGACTCAAACGAGAAGATGCTGCGAAGGACTTCAAGGCTTCCTTCCTTCTTGAGTTCGTAGTACACGGCGTTGAACGCATTTTGGAACTGAAGTTGGCAACCGACTTGCAGATACTTCATCATGTTCTTCTGGGCTTCTTGAGCAACAGATATCGCACTTTCGCGTTGACTGCCCAGCTCGTCCTCCAGACGCAGAAGCTCCTTGATGTCGAACTTCATGTATACGATACAAAATGGGCGAGAGGCAACATGTCGACGCATCAATCAACGATTGCTTGGCGTATATGACGCCGTCAATTTTTACTGCTGTGGCGTCGGCACCGATGAAGTGCTGTCGCTGTCGATCACCGTAACCTGTGAATAACTATCCCACGCTGAATACTGGGATGCCGTTTGTCGAATAGTTGCTGGGGAAGTTACAGTAATCTGCTTCGTGTCCATTCGCCCCCCTGCCCCACAAGAACGAAAAGACAGGACAATACTTTGTGCTTAGACAAGACCGAGGCATCAAGATAGCGCAAGCTGTGGGTCAAACAAATGGCGATGTCCTGGCTCACAAAGAACGCCCCGTGCTTGAACGCAGCGGACCATCATTTGAAGTCAACTATCAGGCGCAGCCTGGCATGAGAGCTTAGCGTGAGAGAGGAGAAAAAAGAGTGCACAGCAGCGGGCGAGGGACCCGCCAAGGATTTCCATCTACAAGTTTGACCTGTTAGAGAACCCCATGAAACAATCTTGGCTCGGAAAAATTGCTTTTCTCCCAAAGATTTGCCCGCAACAAGTATCCGCAAAGGTACATTGTATCGGATATGTTAGAAGAAATATAGTGAACGTTGAAAGGGCGGCGTGTTGTTCCTCTCTCGGCTCCTTGAAGTTGACAAAAGGCGCAACGGCCACTTGGTCCACAAAAAATACCACGGTGTGGTGAACACTGAGCATTACGCAGTCGCAGAAGTGGTCGTCCCCCCCACAGCTGTACAGCCTCAACACCACTTATGGATACTAGCGGTGGGCGCCCACCTATGGGGTGCAAACAGAGAAGCCGTTGCACACGATCTCATATCAGGAGGAGGAACAAAATTGTTCCTTGTTGTCAATTGGCAGAAAAATACATAACCGGAAAGCCGATGACACCCGTGCACGTGTCTCACTACGTAGCAGGCGTACCGAGGTCAAACCTTTGGCGCTTCCATCTGCACTCACGGATCTGTTTCGGGTACAAACGGAGTGGGTGTGGGGTGATTCGATTAAGAGATACAAGCGTGGCACACAACAGAGTCTGTTAACCCAAAAGTTCCTCCACCTCTTTCATCTACTTCAAAATAGAGTACTCTTTGAACGGTTCCTAAACAGACTAAGCAACAGTTCCTGTCACCAGCGATGCTGCTATCTCTGGATAGGAGCATCCCACAGTCACCTCAGTTGCATCCGAGAGAGAACAGTTCGTGGAGGTGGCAGCATCAAAGGCTTGGCCTCGATGCGTCAACTACGGAGTGAGAGATGTGAGCGGGAGTTGTCCGCTCTCAAGTTGGACATGTGTGCTCTTTGTTGATGACGCACGTAGAACAGGCCAGGGCAAGTATGTGTTTTTTTGCGCGCCATGATCATTTTTCTCCACTGTCGGCGCCCGTGGCGCCTATACATTAAAGCCAGGGTGTGCTAGAGGCCCTTACGAATGTGCCACATGCGGATGTCATAGCATTATGAACGATTAGGTTGACTGACCTGTGGTAACCTCGCCGTACCAACGAAGGTTTGTCAGCCCGGTCCAAGATATAGCCAACAAGCTCAAACTCACTGATCTTGGGTCAAGCTTTGCTCGAGAGGGCAACTTTTGGGCCCCTGACGCAAGTATCGACCAAGATCTGACGAACGATTTTGTGAACACATATAATGAGAGCGTTTCTCACGCAGAGTATACTTAAGGATTATTTCTGCTCTCTCTCTGTAGGGGTGATGCAAGGGAAAAACAAGCATGCAGATCCGAGCGACCTGCTTTACGGCCCCTCGAGAAATTATTATTTCCCAGTGGAAAAAAAGGTCGAGAGGAAAAAAAGGTCGACTACAGGTACGTTTTGTGGGTCACAACATGCTTCATGTCTTCAGCTCGTGTGCGGCCAACAAGACACAGAGCAGCCTGATGTTGGGTCGCCTGCAGAGGGTATGTGTATGACCGCAAGCCACTGGTTGCAGCATGTGGATGCCGTCGGCCAAAGGCCTCTCTCCGGCATGCGTTTGGGCTGATCACAAAGCGAGCAACCAGAAAAAAAAACATCCCATTAAGTCAACATCGAAACACACTTCGGTTGACGTTTGCAGGCCGTGCGCAAGCAAAACTAGACAATATGCCGTGTTTCTGGGACGCGAGCAGAGGGTATGTGTATGAACGCACGCTTGGCTGCAGTTGTGGATGCCGTGGGCCTGGATGCCGTGGGCCTACAGTCTTCCTCTGGCATGCGTTTTTGCTGGTCACACATGCAGTTGTTACACAAACTGCACTTTTTGGCCGAAACGCACAAACAACGTCAGCAGAGCAACGTGGCAGAGGTTGACGTTCTCGGCTCGTGTGCGGCCAGCAAGATGAAGGACGCCGTGAATTTTCGATGCCTGCAGAGGGTTCGTGTAAAACCTCACGATACTGGCCTGTGTTTGGGCAACAGACGGTGTAGTTGCTCGTTGTGGCACGATTGGGGTGTGACCCCCTTAATTTTCTCACAGCGAAAATATCACCCGGTGCTGTGAAAAAATCAACCTTTTAACTCGCCGGCCGGAATCCCTGGAAACATTCGGGCTGTAAGAATTTGGGAGCTAGGAATTTGCCATTTTCCTCCGCGTCAAAAGCCCCAATAGTTTTTTTGGCTAAGACAATAACCCCCATACTAAAAAAACACAAATTTGCGTTAGAAAGAGCCTGAAACAGCCAAATCTTAGCCAAGATCGAGATTTACACTTAAGATTCTGTACCCATAAAATGGTCTGAGGCCCAGTACTGACCAAGGTCCGACAATCAAATTCCAAATGGGCACAGTATCAAAATCAAAATGCGTTATCGTGGAAAACTGAAAAAAAGGGGGTAGACCATGTTACCGGAAATGGAAGACGGACCGGGCGAGGAATCAAAAACAGATCTGGCGCCAAGGGAGAGCTAGCACCAAGCAGTGTTTTTTCTAGAGTAGTTTTGCGCTCGTCTGTTCACGTGTTCACCGATATTTCGCCGAATAAGGAACGAGATGCCGCAACAATGGCATCCGGAAGGAGGTGGTGCCATGGGCTGCTGGGGAATCCCAAGCTTTGGCGCCGTGAGGTGCCGAATGCGCCGAAATGAAGTTGTGTCGACGCGAAAATACCAACGGCTGCGAGCGGTCAGTTCAAGTTCGGTGGTTCACCCTGCCACGGATTTGATTTTCCAGCGATAACTTCTCGAAGGAGGAAGCTACAGCAATAGAAATGCCACTCGGCAGGAGGTAGCTCTCTGCTCCATCAGTCCTGCCCAAGGTCTGGTACACCGTGGGGTATCGTGCGTATCGGGAAAAAAGTTGTGGTTGATCCAAAAATATCCAATGTCAGAGCGGTTGGTTCAACTTCGCAAGGATTGTCTGCTCACAATTTGGTTTTCCAGCGATAACTTTTCCAAGAAGGAAGCAACAGCAATAGCAACGCCACTCGGCGGGAGGTAGCTCTAGCCAGCATCTTTCCTGTACAAGGTTAGATGCCTTGGGGTATCGTGAGGGTGGAGAAAAAAGGTTGCAACTACCCTCTCCCGCGCGGAAAAGCCCGAAAAGCCGCGTCAGCCCTGTTTTGATCATCAGTCGCGTCACCAATAGTGACGATCGGCATTTTCTCATCGAAAACTCAACGCGCCGGCCCGGTTATGGGCTTGCCGGCGAGCAGAGTCTTCTGGCTACAAGGAATGGCCAACGTCTCGGTGGTGGGGTGACGATAGCCTCTCTATGAGCAGTGTATAGCAGGTCGTGTCGGGCATGGCTTTGCGGAGGCCTCGTGCGAGATGCTCCATGCCTTCGAGGTATTGAACTCCTTGCCTCTTTGATGATATTTTCAATAAACAGTCCCTCGGGGACTACTTTCCCGAGAGAGTAATTCCTTGAAAATCAAAGGGCGTCGTCAGTAGGTATGAATTTTCCGACCAATCAGAGCTCGATTTCGACTTTGAGTTTTTGGAATTTGATTTTGCGCGCTTCGTTAATGCAGGGCCTGAGACAAAAAAATACCCTTGGAGCTAAAAACACCATTACGAAGCCCCGGGACAGGGGACGGCGTCTTTCACGCTGGAGTCGGGTTGAACCGGGCGTGTAGTCATAACATGTTCCGCCCCTTGTTCTTCCCTTTTCCCGCAACAACACCGTTTGATTTTGATATTCAGCCAATCAACTTTGATCGCCACTTCGTCAAAACCCGGCCTGATGTTTTCAGGATATTTCACGAAGCGGTTTTTTTCCACGGAGCGAAGCGGAAAACCACTCCGCTCCGCTTCGTGATACTTTCCCTCCAGAAAAACCGCTCCGTGACCGGATAGAAAAAACCGCTCCGCTCCGTCAGAATTTTGCCCTCGGATAAACCGCTCGGCTCCGTGGAGCTTCCAAAAAATTCGTACGAAGTGGTTTTTCCACGGAGCGGTTTGAGCTACTCCATCACAGGAGCACGGATGAAACCGCAATGCAGTCACGGGTAAAACCGCAAAAAATCCACGGTTTTCACACGGAGTCACGGTATATTTTCGTTTTGTCTTTTATTCTGTTCTATTCTATTCTATTTCACATCAGGACGTACTGTATTAGGTATGTAGTAGTAGTACTGACAAGTTTCAACGAGAGGCAAGTGAGGAATCATCTGCTGTTTATCGTGTTCCAGGAACATAGGAAGATTCGAGGAGCTATCGATGCGGGGAACGGTCCTTTTCTGCATAATTGATTGATTGGACTGTCCTAGCGGCGAGGACGAATACATACGGTGCCACCGGCGGCCTCCAACCACAGCACACCGTGCGGAAAATCACTTTTCGGTGTACCAAACCCAACGTTTTTCACGAAATTGCAGGCACTCCGTCGATTTTGTACGGATATCCGTCGGTTTCGACGGGTTTTTCTGACGGAAAACCGTCCTCAAGGCCACGGTTTCGCGCGGTTTATTTATATTACGGAGTAAAAAAAAACGCTCCGTGAAAAAAAACGCACTAAGGATGAACCGCTCCGCACCGCTCGGTGCCATGTTCAAATTGAAAGAAGCGCTCCGCTCCGCTCCATGGAACTTGACAAAAGGAAAAAACCGCTCCGGAGCGGTTCTACTCCGTGAGTTACCCTGGATATTTTGGAGGTTCGAAGGCAAGATTGAGCTACAACAATATGATTATCAGGTGTTGTCGTTTCATTCAAGGGAATACTCGGTACCGGTTTTAGAGGCCGATACGTTTTCGGCGGTATTGCCTTACGGCCGTAATTGTTTTGGCAAAAGGCGGTAATGCGTTTTCAGCGGTATCGACTTTGGCGGTGGCGGTAAAACGAAAAACGGCGATATTTTTTCGGCGTTAACGCCATACGGCGGTATTGTGTTGGCGGTTGGCGTTACTCGCGTTTTTCGGCGGTATCGACTTTGGCGCAGGCGGTAAAAACGAAAAACGGTGGTAAAACGGCGGTATACCGGTACCGCCCACCACGGCGGCATTTCACGGCGGAAATGATTGCAATTTGGCCACAACTTCACGAGACACCAAACAGCGGCGCCCAAACAGACGGCAGCCCTCTTTTCCGAAGATTGACCATGTACTTACATGATTTGTTCTGTCGTTTTCACCAGTCACCTTCACATTCAGCTTCAACTCCACGAAAAAATACGAAAGAATACATTGATAACAAAAAAACGAACACAAGACGCAAAAACTAAAAAGTACACCGCCTGCACGGCACGATCCACTCCATTTTTCGTAGTATTTGTCTGAAGTCTCAATCGAAGTGTTCGCCCTCTCCTCCTCCTCCACGGATTGCTGCGCACTCTTGGCTATAACAGTACCTTCTAGCATTGCCTGTTCGACGCGACCTACACGATCATTTGGTCGGGTGTTATCTTACAGGCTAAGGTCAATCGACGTTAGAACTGGTGTTCTCTGTAGAGCTCATTGTTCTGTTGGACCACGCTGGGCGTGGAGCAGGTGTGTGGTTTGTACGCGTTCCGTGCCTCATGCAACCCTGTCTCCCTTACCGCTCAATATATCAAAGGTTTTTCCCGAAAACGAACCCGAACCTAACTCCAGTACCAGAAAAGAAACATATAACCATTTGAAAGAGAAATGCTGGAAAAGAAAACACTCCACGCCTGGACTCGAACCCGTGCCTTCATTCCGAAGCTCTGTTGGACGAGACAAGGCCTCCAAACACGCAGCCCGTAGGTCGGCGGTGATGTACCTTTATGCGGTCGGTATTTTTTCGGCGGTATTGCTGGCGGTAACTGTTTTGGCGGTAGACGGCGATAGGTTTCGGCGGTATCGGCTTTGACGGTGACGGTACAACAAAAAAAAAAAACGGCGGAATTTTTTCGGCAGTAAATTCAACGCCATACGGCGGTGTTGTGTTGGCGGTTGGCGGCATTTGCATTTTTCGGTGGTATCGGCTTTGGCGGAAGCGGTACAACGAAAAAACGGCGGAAAACCGGTACCGCCCAGCATGGCGGTGTTTCGACGACGGTAAAATTACCGAGTTCAACCCTTGGTTTCGTCAAAGCTTCTTGTCATTGAGGCCCTGGGCTGTGAAAACAGGTGGTGGAGCAACGCGTCGATGGACGTCTCATACTCGACAGAAACGGGCCTCGCTTCGGGAAGTGTGCTCGGCGTCTGTGCTCGTCGAAGAAAAACTGAGAATACCGCAAGGATGCCAGAGAATGCACCAGGTTGTTGTTGTTGTTGTTGTCTTCACATTAAAAACCGTTCCGTCCTCTCTGCCCAGTACCTCCCTCTGTTCGTACTAGTCCAACACTTGACGGGGTCGATTCCCGTGGTCACAGGCTAACTTACCCCAACAAAGTACACGAAAATAAGATGGACCCGAAGGTTGCGGGTTCGATTTTCGGAGGTTTTTGTTAAAAATAAGTAAATACAAGGGTCTCCGGACGTGGGAGGCCTATCGGCTCCCCCGTCCTCTGGGTTGCTGTGTCTAGGTGATGGTGGAAGGGAAGTGAGTGGTGTGGATGGTGGGTGAGGCTGGATACCAAGGGCGGGAGTGTTGCAATTGATGGGAAGGATGAGTGTCGCATGACAGAGGGGCCAGATGGAGGAACACAAAATATGTATTAGATAGGAACGCCGAGACTTCGCAAGAAGCACTCAAAACAAAAGAGAAATCAGATTTGACTTCTGACAAAAGAATGTACAGTAGCAATAGGTGCGCATGGGAAGACAACGCAAGCCCATTCCTACAGGAGGAAAAGATGACGCAGTACATTACGTGCAAGAACCTGGAAAAAGGTGCAAGAAGAAAAAAAAAAAAGTTGTGACTACTAAAAAAAATGAAGACACGCTTCGTGCGGACCGCGAGCCGACCGTTGGGGCAGTCTTTCACGTCGAGGCACACCCACAGGGGGTTGCCGGGTTCCAGCGCAGTCTTGGGCTTGGAGGGGGGTTTGGAACTCTCGACTGGCTTGCGTTTCAGAGGCGAAGCCTTCGATAGCGCACTCATGTCCACTCGGAGGGTAGCGGCTGCTGTGTTGAAGTGTGCGCGTGTGAGCGTGGCGCGGGTGTGGTGAGGAGACTAAAACGAATCTTTACTTCCAGAAGTTTGGGCGAAGTTTTGACCCAACTAAAGATCCAGAACCCACAGCAGCAGAGAGGGCTACACGCTCCCGGCTTCGTTGAGCGGCTTCGTTAAGCTTGCTCAGAAACTGTTTGCCCTGCGCCTGACCCCCCTTTTTGGTGCATGCGCGTGGTCGGGCTGTTGGTCGAAAAACCACGAAAATAAACTTTTTCCGCTCATCAGGTCGCCGGCGCCAAATCTTGTTTTGACTTGATATTACAGAGTGAGAGAAGAACGCGAAATACTCGATGCCACAAACGAGCTGGCCCTTGCGGTTCAGTACACACCCGTGAACAGGACAGATCTATGGATTCATCGGTCAATTTTTCAATCGGCGGGTTCTAACCCATCGAACACTCAAAAAACAAGTGATTTTCGGTCCTTTTCGCCTGCTGCCACGAACGTGAGCAACTTCAACGCAAATCGCCACCGATGAAATCGGAGCTCTCCTTCTCAGCAAGGTGACGCAAAAAGCCACGCTAGAATCCACCGCGTCATCGTCGCGCAAAACGAATCCCCAGATCGGGTACTCATCATGGGTACTCATCGGTACGTCTGGGAAGAAAAAATCGCCAGACTCGAGGAAAAAACGAATGCAAAAGTTCTCGAGTAAAAACGAGATATGTGGCGAAAAACATGGTATGACGATGGAGGCCAGGGCGTCGCAAGCAAGGTTCGACGGGCTGGTGAGGAGGGCAGATGTCAAGGAGTTGACACGGAGCCGTGACGCCGCAACAGCGAAAGCTGACGCCGCCCGCGTACAAAAGAACAAGGCGAACGCGGCAAAGAGAAAGGCGGAGAGAGTAGCAGCAGAAGAAAAAGAAGCAGCAGCAGCAGAAAAAGTTGAAGCAAGCAGGCAGCGAGAGCTACGCCAGGTAGCAGCACAAGCTGATAGGAGGCGGGGTGGTAGGCAGTCGTCTTAGGTTCGTGGGCGCGGGCGGAGGCAAAGCGAGCGCGGTGGTGGCCGGAGCACCTGGGATGATGTGCGAGAGTTTTTGTTTTTTTTGTGCGTGTGTTTTTCTTGCTGCTGCTGCTGCTGCATTTTTTCGGTGAACTGATTTTTGTGCCACGGCACAAAGGCTGTACCGCCGACGCTACTACAGCTCTTTCTGTCGTTGCTGCGCCATCAGTAGCTCTGGCTTACGTACTTGCTGCGCAGTACCTCTTCGGCCTCAGGAAGGCGAGGAAAGGTTGCAAGCGTGGCCAGTTTCTTTTTGATGTTGTGTTGTGTCAAATCAACTTTATTTTTTCGTGTTGAGTAAAAAAATATGCCCGCCATTATCCATTTTCGGCGTTTCTTTCGTCATCGCCTACATTTGTGTCACGGCGCAAAGGCTGTACCGCTGGCGGCATTGCAGCTCTTTCTATCGTTACTGCGCCATCAGTAGCTCTGGCTTGTACACGTGCTGCGCAATACCTCTTCGACCTCGTNTGCTGCTGCTGCTGCTGCATTTTTTCGGTGAACTGATTTTTGTGCCACGGCACAAAGGCTGTACCGCCGACGCTACTACAGCTCTTTCTGTCGTTGCTGCGCCATCAGTAGCTCTGGCTTACGTACTTGCTGCGCAGTACCTCTTCGGCCTCAGGAAGGCGAGGAAAGGTTGCAAGCGTGGCCAGTTTCTTTTTGATGTTGTGTTGTGTCAAATCAACTTTATTTTTTCGTGTTGAGTAAAAAAATATGCCCGCCATTATCCATTTTCGGCGTTTCTTTCGTCATCGCCTACATTTGTGTCACGGCGCAAAGGCTGTACCGCTGGCGGCATTGCAGCTCTTTCTATCGTTACTGCGCCATCAGTAGCTCTGGCTTGTACACGTGCTGCGCAATACCTCTTCGACCTCGTGCAGAGGAGGAAATGTCGCGAGCGGGTGCAGTGCCTTTTGGGTAGTGTTGCGTTGTTCCAAACGACGTTTTTTTTTTCGTGCTGATTATAATACATCTGCCTTCATCCATCGCGGATTCTTTTTCACATCTCATCGTCATCCTCCCCGCTCAGCTCGTCGGACAGACCACTCTCAGGCTCCGACTCCGACACAACATCGTCGATCACGCTCCTAACCTGCCACTCGGGGCCATGATTTGTGGCGCCGGTCAGCAGTGAGGTGGTCGCAGGTCTAGGTTGACCACGAGGGAGCACACGCATCAACCCCACCGCCGTGTGTTGTCCGTGTATGTGTTGTTGTTCGCGCGCATCCACGCCCGCTCAAAAAAAATTAAAAAATACAAGCCACAGCAGCACATGTTCAGTCTGTTCGCCCTGGAAATGGACGCCGCTGTCCGCTGTCAAAAATAGTCGGCTTTGATTGACTTGGCAACGAAAAAAGAAAGAAAAAAGTCCGTTCGAAAGAACCTCCGCGTGACAGAATTTGGGCTCAAAAACAGGGTCAGGCGCAGGGCTAACTGTGATCGACCTACTACGTGAAAACTGCGCTTGCTATAAACCGCACTAGAGGTGAATAGACGGTAGTACGTGCTGGCCATTGAGGGTGTTCGTGTTCANACCAACGTAAATACCAAAACCCGGAATTCGGGACTGTCACCTTTTTGCGAACGGAAGACGAACGACGTCGGTTCTGCGGGTTTCAGCGCGCTTTCACGAAACTGATTCCCAACTCAGCGGGCACAATCGGGACCGCGCGAAATGAATCATTCTGTTCGCTAGGCCACCAGGTGCCACCGTGCGAAGGCGCGAGTCTCGCCGTGCGTCTGGGCGCGCGCTATGAGGGCGCGAAGTTAACCCACTGTTTTCAGAGGGGGTCGAATCGCCCCGCTGCGCTGTGAGCGACCCAGTCCTGAAGATCCCGATTCCCGTAAAATAAAGCACCTCTATATGTTAGAAGAACCAAGCAAAACACGCGTGTGGCGAACCAAGCATCGCAACGCGGGGGGGG